TTCATTGTTACAAATTGAACATAATTAAAGCATAGTGATTAATCACAAAACAATATGTAATTACATATTGTGAAATATTTATGTTTTCTGCTGGTCTTAGGTGACCCCTGTGAAAGGGTCGTTCGACCCCCAAAGGGGTCTGTCTCCACTGCTCTAGAGAACCCACTCTAAGTAAGCCATATTCCTGGTCTACCCACTAGATGTCAGTAGCACCTCCCCACGAGGTGACAACCAAGCTGTGTGAAGACCTTGGCAAATGCCCTCTGGGGAGCAAAACCCCCAGCTGTGCCTCAACCTAAGGAATCTTGCTTTCTCCTTGAAGCAGTCAAGTCTGCTCCAAGCCCATGACCTACCCCAGTGTTGGCCTTTCTCAGGTGCTTGCTATTTTCTGTAGCAGCAGGTAAGCACCTTAACAAACCAAACTGGCAAAACTCATTGCTGGCAAATGAATTCTGACGCACAGCTACCTTACAGGACCAAGTACAACGGCCCCTGTGGGTTTCTGAGACTGTAAATCTTAAGGGAGTAGAAAGCCTCATCTTTCTCCGTTGGAGCAGCTGGTGACTTTGAACAGCTACTTTCCCCTTGGCAGCCCCACGCGTGTAGCCCACTAAGCCACCTGAAGGTAAGCACAAGGGTGAAGGACTGTTTCATCATGGCCTGATGCTTCCTTTTATACTAGCTGCGTGGTTTTTAACTCAACCAGGTCAGGCAGCCAGTCAGCAATCACACTCGCATTTCTGAGCATCTGGTGCCTGCAACCTCCCAGCTCTGTGTCAGAGTTCTAGCTGGCGTCTACCAAGGAAGGGCACTGTAGGAAGGCTGGTCAAATGGCAGTCACTGCCACGGAGTCCACTCTGACTCATAGCAACTCTATTTCTATAGGGTCTCACCAGGCTGTAAATCTTTATAGGAGCACACAGCCTCATTTTCGTCCCTCAGGGTGGCTAATAAGTTTGAACATCCCCATTCTTCACACTTGGCTGGCAGCACCACCAGGGCTCATCCTGAAGCAGCTGAAAAACTGAGTCACGGTTATCAAGCGACTGAAAAAGAAATTAAACTGGAACCTATATTGTCATCAAGTTCCTGTTTCTTCTTCTCAGATACTGTATACCCCTTATTCCCTATGATTTACTCATGCTTTTAAAAAAAAAAAGGAAACGTTATTGTCCATCAAGGCGAACAATATTGACTTCATTCATATTGCTATTATTCCCTTTCATGTTGAATGTGCGTGCAGCATAAAGCAATGTCCTGCAAGTAACACTGATTTCATACCAATGGAGGCAAAATATCATTGATTAAAATTTTTATTTAATATCAAAAGTATTTATAAACAAAGTTTCTTACACTTTCTAAAAAAACCGGTGGTTAACATAATAACGAGCTTGCGTTGACTGCTCCATTTGATGTGAACTTATGAAGTTTTCTTTTGAAGTTTCTGCTTAGAAATAATGCATGAGCAAACAGATTCTCTCACATTCTGACAAAATACAAATATTTCAGAGTCTTTTGGTGTAAATATTCATTAACTGCTCTGTGTAAGAAACAGTCATCCCTTCTGATTGATTATAAAGGAGAAATGCCTAAGAATATCCAGCAGCCACGCCTCCTGCCTTCAGGGGAACATACCATTTATATGTTGAGTTTTTCAGCACATTTTTAATGCAGCTTTGGTGGTAAAGTTAGGTGGCTTGGCTGATATTCGGATCGGCTTATACTGGAGTATATATGGTATTTACCTGGAACGAACTCTTTGGCATGAAACCATCATCAATGCTCATGGAAACAGCAGCCAGAAAACCATCAAAGGACAGAACACATTTGTTAAACCTGCTGCACAAGACTTAAGTGTTGAAGAGCGACCCCGCCATGGTATTTTCAATCACCTCATATGGAAGTGAAGGTTGGACAACGAATCAGGACGGCCAGAGAAGGGATGGCCTGTTTGGATGAGGGTCTTGGTGAGAATACTCAAAGTGCTAGGGATTGCTGGAACATAATTGATCTGTCTTGGAAGAAGCAGAGCCAGGATTCTTGGGAGGAGCAAGGATGGCAAGACTTCGTCTCACATCCTTTAGAAAGATTAGGAGAGACCGGTCCTTGGAAAAGGACATCACGTGTAGTCAAGCAGAGGGTCACTAAAGAAGAGGACGACCTTGAAGAGACGGACTGACCCTGTGGCTGCAACAATGAGCTCCAACATGACCCCTGTGAGGATGGCGCAGGCCCACGCAGGGTTTCCTTCTGTTGTACCAGGCAGGGGGCTATGGGTCAGGACTGACTCATTGCCACGGAGGACAATCTTAAAGATCATCTTCTACTGCAGTACAACCGCGATGTAAGGCGGGAACGTGGCTCCAGTGAGGCTGCTACTGTCCAGGAGCGTGCGACTTCCTGTATTTCGAGATAAATGCATCTGTTTTCCCAAGGCTAACCTTGTAGCACTCCACTGGCACCAAAGAGCCAAATGGGGACATACTGTCTAAGCCCCCCCGGTGGCTGCTTTGAACCGAAGACAACACTGTCTCCGAAAGGGCTTCTTTCCTCTCAGCAGTCAAGCACTGTTGAAGTCCAGTTTCAGGTGCGTGGCCGCTCTTGGAATTCAAGGGGAGGCTGCTGGCGTCACAATCTTTAAGCCGCCTCTGGTGATACTCACTTAGAAGCAATACAATGGTGCCGCCAACATGAAGCACTCTGATTAAAAAAAAGGGTTGGGGGAGGTTAATTAATATTTCTTTCTTTTTCAAAGACTAACCCTCATACTTCTGACTCGAAATATTTGCTGTGTTTTTAATTTGAAATTTAATGTTGTCTATTGAAATACAAGGATTCTGCTAATTAGCTAGCACCTTCCACAATGCATAGTCATTATCGTAATTATAGAATCAATAGTAAAAATCTGGTTTAATTATCTATTTTTTT